CGTTCCCCGTGAGGCACATGGAAGTCGATGAGTTGTGTACCGGAAGTGAGCTGTCGCTCGTCTTCCAGGCGTTCGAACTTCATGCTGAGGAGGAACATGATGTAAGTTACTGGGTCTGTGTGGACCCCATCAATGTCAGCACCATAGTTTATAATGTCAGGCGGTACCCTCATGGCGAGTGTCCTCGCTAGGCCTCCCAGGCCGCGTAGTATTGCGGCCGCTTGGGCCTGTGGCGTCATACGTCCGCTTGTAACGTTGAGCCACGCGTTGACCTCGTAAATGTACTCACGAAAAGGTACATTACCCTGAGGGTCCCAATATGGGCCATGTGTGTTGCCCATCGGTGCTGTTATCTCCCCGACGCATGTGTGCGATTGCTGCCCCCAGCGCGAACCATATGATAGCGAAAACGATTAGCCCGAGAATGTGTAACGAAGAATGGTTATGATGAGCGGTGTCGCGCTGGGGTAGCGCCTTGTCGAGTCTTCGAGGCGCTCTGTCTGGCGGGTTTCCCCGCCCTTGCTTCAGGTATTGCGTTATTGGCTCGTTGCCGAGCGGTTGATAGTAACGCAATGATGAAGCGTATATGGTACCAATTTGGTCGTCTAGACGTCGTACCTCTCGTGTAGCTTCTTGCTCTTGAATAGATCCTCGTAAATGTACTGGGAGTGGTGGCGCAGGGTAGTAGGTGGTCACGAAGATCGTGCCGAAGAATGTGAGGCTGAGAAGAGCAAGAGCTGACCACACGAGAGTGCGGCCAGCTCCGCTACCAAGTCGAAAGTGAGCCTGGTAACTCAAATAGGGCATATAGCCTGTCATATAGCATCCGATTCCAAGGCGCTGACCGTGGACATCGGATGGCAAATAGCGTCCATCGCTCTGCTGTAGTTGTGAAGGTACAGTATGAGGGGTGGGCGGATAAGATAGGATAAGATCGATGTAATGATCTTTCCAGCACATAGCGAACACTCGCGGTGTCCGGGCAAATAGGGCGCGCGTGCCTTGAGCCCAAGGCAGCGGCGCGCGAGCTATGCTCCCGATACTGTAACATCTCCCAAAGAGCTACCCTTAAAGTGAACTGACATTTCGAGTTTCCACCAAGATGGCCCTTCGAGGCCCCCCAGCGGCCACCGAGGCCCCTCCAAGAGGCCCCTGAAGAGGCCTCCAAGACGCCCCAAAGAGGCCACCCAGAGGCCCCCACGAGGCCCCAAAAAGCTTACCAAATGCCCACAACAGTTCTCCAAAAGGCCCAGAGGCATCCCAAGAGACCCTCGCATTCATCCAGGAGGCTCCTGACCAATAGCCAAGGCACGGTGGAAGGGTGGGCAGGGACCAGCTTCAACGATCGTCGCAAGCATGTACTCCTCAGAGGCGCCCACAAGAAGCCCCAAAGCCGTCCAAGCGGCTCCCAAGACGCCCCCCAAAGACCTCCTTGGAACCCTCCAGGGCCCCGGGATGCACCCAAAAACCCTCCAAGAGCCTCCCGAGAAGCACCCCAAGAGCCCTTCATATGCATCCAAGAGTCTCCCGACCCAAGATGCTCAAACACACTCCTTGTGGGGCTCGGCGGAATGACGTATGCCAGTTGAGTATACAAACGCTTCGCCCACTCGTGCCTGGGGGGGCGCCCACGCTTCTGTCCAAGAGTATCAGTTATCGGTATCACGCTGATTAGTTGGAAGGTCAATTTTCGGAGCACGCCAGCGTCGCTGTTGCGGCCAAGTTTCCATAATTACATACATTGGTGATGCAGTGGTTGAGCATTGTAAGGTGTGGCCCCCGTGCTGTAGCACACTTGTGTTGAAGGCCCTTCAGATATAAGAATAGGGAGTGTTGAGAACATGGTGAAACCACCGTGTCTGGAACACATCCAAACGTGGTCTGTCGCTCTTGTTCAGCCTTGCGGATGTCAACGAATACATAGCTTTAGTCCCAATCAACGCACCTGATACGTTTAACTGTCCTTCGATACTGATGGACGTATGCTTCCAAGCCCTTATGTATCTTGGCATTTCAGAAACCATGCAAGGAAAGGCTGTATAGGAGAGAGTATGATCCACCGCCGCTTTACTTTGGAAAATTCCCCCCCCTCTTCCTCCGGAACCGGGGGTTCCCCCCCCTTCGAAAATCCCCCCCCCATCCCCCCCCCCTCCGACCCCCCCTCCCAATTCCTCTCCCCTGGCAGAACCCCCCCCGGCAAACCCCCCCCTCCGAAAAACCAGAGGGGGGATCACTACCCGTTCGAACTCCCCCCCCTCCAGAAAACCGGGACGGGGTCACTACTGGTTCGACCCCCCCCCTCCAGCAGAAAACGGGGGGCGTCACTACCGGTTAGAACCCCCCCCCTCCAGAAAACCGGGGGGTAGTGGTCACTACCGGTTCGAAACCCCCCCCCCCCTCCAAAAAACCAGGGGGGTCACTACGGGTTCGAACCCTGACCCCCCCCCCTCCCCACCACTCACCTCCGGCAAACGACTCCCGGGTCCCCACCACCGTCCGCACCACATCCCCCACTTCTGTCCCCAGCACCACTGTCCCCACCACCACTGTCCCCACTGTTCCCACCACTGTCGCACTGTCCCCACTGTCCCCACCACTGTTCCCACCACGGTCCCACTCTCCCCATTTTCCCCACGGTCCCCACCACTGTACCACTGTCCCCACTGTCCCACTGTCTCCGCCGCTGTCCCACTGAGCTGTCCCACTGTTTCCGCCACTGTCCCCACTGTCCCCACCACTGTCCCTCCCCACTGTACCTCTGTCCCATTGTCCCACCCCCGTCCTGACCACCGCCCTCACGACTGTCCCCACAACCACTGTCCCCACCACTGTGCCACTGTCCCCACTGTGCCCACCACTCTCCCACTGTCCCCACACCACTATCCCCACCACCACCACCGTCCCCATTACTGTCCCACAGTCCCCACCACTGCCCCACTGTCCCCACTGATCCCACCATTGTCTCCGCTGTCCCAGCCAGTGCCCACACCAGTGTCTCACTGTCCCCACTCTCCCCACCACTGTCCCACCACGGTCCCACTCTCCCCATTGTCCCCACTGTCCCCACCAGTGTCCCACTGCCCCCACTGTTCCCAACACTGTCCCACTGTCCCCACTGTCCCCGCCGCTGTCCCACTGTGCTGTCCCACTGTCCCCACTCTCCCCACCACTGTCCCTAGTGTCCCCACTGTCCCCACCACTCTCTCCACTGTACTACTTTGTCCCACCACCGTCCTCACCACCGCCTTCACCACTGTCCCCACCACTACCGTCCCCACCACTATCCCACTGTCCCCACTGTCCCCACCATTGTCCCGCTGTCCCCTCACCACTGTCCCCACCACCACCGTCCCCACTACTGTCCCACTGTCCGCACCACTGTCCCACTGTCCCCAGACCACTGTCCCCACCACCACCGTCCCCACCTCTGCCCCAGTATCCCCACAACTGTCCAACTGTCCCGAAGAGCGGGAATCGTTTGCCGGCGGCGAGGGGGGGGGGTTCGAACCGGTAGTGACTCTCCCTCTTTTCATGATGGACTGGAGGGGGGGGTCGAACCTGTAGTGCCTCCCCCCGGGTTTTTCCGCAAGCAGCGGTAGAACACGCTCTTTCCTGTACAACGATAACGTATCATAGTGCGAGGCAGGATGCCCAGCACTCGCAGCGTAGTTACACAATTCATTACAAGTGCATCAACCTGGAGTTCTCTCATCTTGGATGCCTCCAGCAACTCCAATTGGATATGGTATCGCACTCCTCGTCCTTTTCGGTTGAGCTGGAAAAAACAGCATATGATCCTTACGCGACCAGTCGGTCACTATACGCTATCGGGAGATGTAATCCCGCCAGCGTCCTTGATGCAATGAACAGGTCACGACAAAGCTGGCCAAGCCTTCTGAGACGAGGAGGACAGAAAGACACTTCCAGGCCACAGGATACGACACGGGAGAGGGGCTACGAATACACGACGCACACACGGTCAGAAACTGTTGGATAGCGTGTTGCGGCAGCAGCCCTGCCGACACGCTGTTCCTTGCGAGCGGATAGCGTGTCACTCCGCTCCGCAGGTCGGGGTTGGGAAACGCTCGGGACATTGAGGCTCGGGGACCTGGACGTGGATAACGAGTCGCGCCGGAGCGTGGTGGGCCAGAACCGAAGCGTGGTGTGGGCCAGAACCGGCAGCACGACACGCTAAGCCAAAGTTCCTGACCGTATACCAACCTACCACTCGCCTGCTACTCGCATGCCGCCTACACGACCAACGCATTGCCTACTCTCTGCTTCCTCTGCTTCTGCCTGTCTGCCTGCCTATGGTGCTGCCTACTGCCATCGCATACTCAACTACCTGGCCCTTCAATTCCAGTCTCGCAAGCGATTGATCTGCCTCGCAATCTCTCCTTCGCATAATGCTCGCGACACGGCCAACCTCAAACATATCAGGGCTCACTCACCAAGGCCTGATCGTATCTTAAACAGGCTTGCATGCGCAAATCTATATTCAACACAAACACACACGTAAAAACAATCCACAGCACGGCGCGCATACACTCAATGTCGATCTGGCTAGTGGCAGTATCGAAGACGCAGCGAGCAGGAGACCACCGGCTGCCGGGCCATTCGCATTTCCGACGTCAAGCGAGCAAGACGGGTGGTTGAACCGAATTATCTCCGCTTGCGCGCACAACGCACTTATCATAACCACCGAAGTCGTGGCTTTCTCGCGACGTGGGCCGCGAGACCGGTCACTACCTCCCCGGACGCCGCAATTGCAGAAAGAACGCCCGCCGTGGCTTGCTGCGCGACGCGGAAAAAGCGGGTCCCCAGGCCACCACGCCCCATGGAACTTCTGCCCGGGGTTGGCCTCCGGACCTCTGCCTGCCACCCAATCCTGGCCCGCTTGCCGAACCGCGTGCCGAAAGAGGGGTGCACCAACAGAGGCCGAGAAACGGGGAGCAGGGATTCGGAGCGCAGCTGCCGCGGCGATGTTGTCGACGCGGGGCCTGGTGCAGCTTCGTGATCAGGCCCTCTAGGGACGCCTGCCATGCGCGGGCGCCTCCTGCTGTGTCGACCGAGATGCCACGCGGCAGGAGCACGAGGAGAGGGAGACGAGGTTCGGTCCAGTCGTCCTCGAATGCGCGAGTCACGCTCTCAACTGCAGGGCGGGGGCCGCCTCCATGGGCAACGACAGTCTAGACAGAGGAGGAGGAGGAGGAGGGGAAACTCGGCTGACGGGGAGAGGAATAGCATGGTGCGGGAGATGCGGAGGGCGGGAGGATGGGGAGCAAGGAGTGGGCGGGACGAGAATGAGGAGCAGGAGGAGGGGAGAGGAAGGATAATGAAAAGGAATCTGGGGGCCGGGAGGAGGAACGCCATGGGAAACGAATCTAACATCATGATACATCCATGATGTAGCATCCATGTGAAGAAGCTATACCCTCGCGGCATGGAGCACACCTGCTGCTAGAAGGTGTGGCTCCTGCGCTCCCGACATTCTCTGTCGTCCCGCCTTTCTGTTTACTTCTTCGCAACGAAGCACGGCACTCACAAAATACCAGCGAGGCACACAACACTGTTACTACAGGCGACGTCTGGAGGCGGAAAAGCTCTTCGGAGACACTCGGCATGAGACAAAGCAACACGATGACCGCCAGAATACATGGCGACATGGGAGCATCACGCCGCGCCGGACCGCGCCGGAGGCGTCGAGCACACCACGCCGCTCGGCTACAGATGAAGCGGGAGAAGCAGGCAGGCAGGCAGGCAGGCGGGCACGGCAGGGAGGCAGAGGCGCGAACCAGCCGACACGGCTGGCCGCCCTGCCGCGGCCACCGCTACCAGCGCGGAGCATCCACGGCGCGGCGCGCCCGGATCGCGGAGAGGACCACTGCCATGCACCTCCTGCCTCTGGCCCGCGTCTCCGCCCCTGCCCCTGCTCCTTCTCATCCTCCGCCTCTTGCTTCTCCTGCTCCTCATCATCGTCCTCCCCCTCCTCCCCCCTCTTCCGCCTTCGGTGGCGATGACGACGGTGCCGCCTGAAAACCGCCTCACCGCACCCGACCCCAAGAGGATCGCGACCTCGCTCTCGGGGCGGATCCAGCCGTGGCCAGCCAGGAGCGAGACGCATCGAAACGTTGTACGACGACGGGGACGACACAGACGACGGTCCTCCTCCTCCTCCTCGCTCTCCTCCTCATGCCGCGCGCGCTCGGGTGGGTCGCGCGCGCGGGAGCAGAGCGCGGACGAGGACGCACGGACGGAGGAAGGAACAGCTGGAGGAGTAGAGAACTGCAGATGAAGAAGGACGACGAGAGGAGGGAGCTGAACCAAGAGATCCGCGCGGAGCTCCGACCATCTATCACAGAATCGGAGCTCCGCCAGGATTTCTTGGATCGGCCCTGGGCCTCCCCTCCCTGGCGCGCGGAGCGCGTCAAGGGCGGCACTGGAGGCGCCGCCAGGGGGGCCCAGCGCCGATCGGAGAAATTCGCGCCGAGAGCCGAAGGTGTGTGTCTGTGCTATTCTCCCTTGACATGCGAGACGGCGCTGCCAGGGGTCTCGGCGTGTGTGCCATACTTAGGCGGTGTCGTCGTCGCCATAGGCGGAGGAAGGGGAGGAGAGAAGGATGATGATGATAATGATAATGATGATGACGATGCTGATGATGATGTGACGATGATGACGATGATGCTGCTGATGATGCTGTTGTTGATGATGATGATACTGCGTATGATGATGATAAAACTGAAGATGATGGTGGTGGCGATCATGGTGGTGATGATGATGAGGAGGAAGGCGCTGGTGATGGCAATGATGCTGATGACGAGGAGGAGGAAGAGGAGGAGGAGGATGAGGGTGACAAGCAGGGGGAGCACTTCGGAGGGGAGGCTCAGGAGGGCGGAGGAGAGACGGCGCGGCCCGAGGGGGTCGCCGCCTGCGTGCCGTACTTGCTGCCGTCCAGGTCGAAGAGCCGCGAGGGGAGGTAGCCCTGGGGCGCCACCTTGCACACCCCGGCGCGGAGAGATGGAGGCGGCGAAGAGCGGCGGCCCGGGGAGGAGGGGGGGAGAGGTGAAGGAAGGGGACGAGGAAGGGCAAAAGGACGTGGAGAAGGAGGAAGAGGAGGAGGAGAGGAGGTGGAGGAAGAGAGGGACGAGGAAGATGAGGAGGGGGAGGAGGGGGGATAGGAGGAGGAGGACCAAGTCGGTCTTTTTGTTCAATCACACTAACACTCCCTGCATCCGCATTCAGTCCGCGCAACGAAAAAATGAGGAAGAAATAGAAGAAGACGTGGATTGATGGAGGGGATTTCGGAAGGTACTGTACTCGTTCGTTGATTGTTGGAGGAAACTTTGGGAGACATTCGTTCTTGAGGCTGCTTGAGGCTGGCACTCGTAGTGTGGCTTCTCATCGCACCCTTGCTGCCCGCCGCCTTCGGGTAGACCGCGCACGGGCTGACGGGCCGGCGTCGGCCTGTCGACTGGCGTCCCGAGCAATCGCTCCCGCGGCCTGCCCAAGAAGACAAGGAAGATGACGAGGCCGTGGAGGACGACAACAAGAAAGAGAGGGAAGAAAAAAAGGACGAGGAGGAGCCGAGGAGGAGAAGGGCGATCCCCCTCCTCCCCCTCCCCCTCCCCCTCCTCCTCCTCCTCCTCCTCCTCCTCCTCCTCCTCCTCCTCCTCCTGCTCCTGCTCCAAAGGTCGCAGCTGCGCTCAACAGGCCCTCAAATGTAGACGGGGAAGGTCTCGAAACCTAGCGCCACCTACAGCGGCACCACCTCAACGCCCCAGCAGCGCCTGTTGAGAGCAGGGGCCAAGGGGCTCCCAAAAGGCTCCCTGGACGCTCCAAACACCCATGTTCTACGCACTCTGGACATCTTAGCTGCCCCGATACGCAACACGCAACACGTAGCGTATTGATACGGAGCTCGACGCGTAGACTGAAAACGTAGGTCCGACGCGATACATTCGCCAAAACGTGGTCCAATACGTGGAGCCAACACGCAACGTATTGACACGGACGTCTCGAACACGAGACGTGCTGCGTTTCATAACGGGCGTATCGAGGCAACTACGCTGGACATGCATCCCGCGAAATGAAAAGTATCAAGGTTCCGATTGCGGACCGCCGAGCCCCCACGAGGCCCTCAGATACCCAGCCCCATCAAGCCGTCGTCGCTATCCATCGGCATCATCGTCGTCGTCGTCGTCGTCGTCCTCGTTCCTCGTCGTCGTCGTCGACGTCGTCGTCGTCGACGTCGTCGTCCTCCTCCTCCTCCTCGCCCGGTAAAAAATCGGCCTCCTGGACGCTCCCAGGGAGCACGCTGACCAATTGTCCGAACTGCGTCCAACCACGGCGCAATGGGGGAAGCCTGGCCACAACGGAAAAACAAACAGCAGAGCGGAGGAGGAGAGCAGGATCCCTCGCTTCTGCGTTTCGGTCGCGCAGCAATCGGCGTCGTCAACTCCGCCACCGGGCCCCCTGGCAATGAGAGCGTAGGAGATGCGTAGGAGATCCGACCAGTGCTGTCTGGAATAGGATCTACAAGTCGCCCCCGCTCCTTCTCCTCTCCTCCTCTCCTCCTCCTCCTCCCCACCCTCTGTTCATTACGGCATAACGCCCTCGACCTCGGAGCGTTCTCCACGTCGCCCTACCACCCCCACGCCACGATCCTCCTTCCCCTCCCTGTTCATTCCTACCCCCCGTTCATTACATCCCGCGGCCGAGCCTTCAAGCCCTCTCCAAATAGATCCCAGATGGTCCCGATTGGGCCGATGGGACCCCTCTGCAGCTCAGCGGCGCTTACAACTACGCGACACCCAAGGGTCGGCGATGATGAAGGAGGGAGGGGGATGCAGGAACAGGAGAAGGACGAGGGAGGAGCAGGCAGAGGTAGGGGGTGGGAGGGAGGGAGGAGGAAGGACCGACGGAACACTTTCTTCCACGACCACTGTGTGCCTGAGGTGATCCAGCAACGCGGCAGTGCCATGGATTCGGAGCCTGGTCCGCGGAAAATGCGGTAGGATGTGGAGGAATGACGGGAAGAGGCATACCAGCGGGAGGAGGGGGGGGCGGAAGAGAGAGAATGAGATGGAGGAGGAGGAGGAGGAGGAGGGGAGGAGGAGGAGGAGGAGGAGGAGGGAGGAGGAGGAGGAGGAGGAGGAGGAGGAGGAGGCGGAGGGAGGAGGAGGGAGGAGGAGGAGGAGGAGGAGGAGGAGGAGGAGGAGGAGGAGGAGGAGGAGGAGGCGGAGGAAGCGGATCAGGAGGCGGAGGAGGACGACGACGAGGTAGAGGGGAAAGAAGGGGCGCGGAGGAGAAGGAGTGCGCGCGGAAGAGGAGGCACCCTAGGTGCGGGGGGGGGGGGGGGGGGGCGCCGACTGCGAGGGTGGCGGCAGCCAGATGTCGGTGACGCCCATCTCCTCGAGGATACCCACCTCTAGGGCAGGACAGAATCGGGGCCATCCCTCACCCTTCTCCCTCACCCCTCCTCGCCACCCTCGCCCGTGATCCTCCTCATCCTTGCCCGCGCCCTTTTCCTCTTCATCCTTCTCCTCCTCCACATCCCCCTTGCGGCACCACTCCCCTGGCACAAAGAAGCAGGCGCTGGGAGGGGGGTGGCCCGTGCTCGGAGGCGGATGAATGAGGATCGAGGAGGGCGGACGGGAGGGCGTCGGCCAGCCGCGTCCCACGATGACGCTCCAGGAGGCTCCCCAAAAGCCAAACACGTCTGCAAACCTGGATCCTCGATCCTCGGTCCTCCTCCCCAGTCGCCCCCATCTTACCCACACGTATCCTCCAATCGCCTCTTTCCCCCTCCCACTTCGCCCCGGCCCCCGCTAGTGGCCGCGCCATCCAGGAAGGACGCCGTCGAAGAAGCATAGGGACAGGGGACTGGGACGAGGACTTTTGTCTGGCTGTGGATGTGGGCGAAGCTTGTTCCAGACGGGTCGCCGGCCATTACCGCCCCACCCGTCTATGACCCTATCGCCTTTTTCGGTCGTGCGCGTGCACGTGGAAGAGTGGGGCGTGGCAAGGGGGAGGGAAGGCGAGGCCGATGAGTCTCCCCCCCGGTTTGCCCACACACTGCCGCCACCACGACTATACATATGCACTGGCTGGAGAGTTCTTGGCTCCACGAGCTCTGTTGCGTCCCATCGCTGCCTCCTGCCCCTGTTGTGCTGCTCGTGCCCCGTCATTCCAGTCTCCCCGCGCACGTGTCGTCCGCCGCCCCCCGATTCTCCTCCTCCTCCTCCTCCTCCTCCTCCTCCTCCTCCTCCTCCTCCCTCCTCCCTCCTCCCTCCTCCCTCCTCCTCCTCCTCCCTCTCCCTCCCTCCTCCCCCTTCCCTCCCTCCTCCCTCCTCCTCTCTCCTCCTCCTCCTCCTCCTCCTCCTCCTCCCTCCCTCCCCTCCTCCTCCTCCTCCTCCTCCTCCTCCTCCTCCTCCTCCTCCTCCTCCTCTCCTCCTCCTCCCTCCTCCCTCCTCCTCCTCTCCTCTCCTCCTCCTCCTCCTCCTCCTCCTCCTCCTCCTCCTCTTCCTCCCCTTCCTCCTCCTCCTCCTCTCCTCCTCCTCCTCCTCCTCCTCCTCCTCCTCCTCCTCCTCCTCCTCCTCCTCCTCCTCCTCCTCCTCCAGTCTGCCAGCCGAGGCTGGCATGGCGAAGCGGTGGTGCACCGTCCCATGCGGCAAGACGTGCCGGACCCGCGGGCGGCAGGCTGCCCCAGGGTGGGGAGCCACAGGGCTCCCTGCCATCCACGCCCCCCTATATGAGGGGAAACGATCGGGGGGGGATGGGCATAGGGGGGATGCATCGGCCTGGAATCGGCGATACATCGCCGACAGATCGGCGATAGGCCTCCGGCAGTGAACCCGCACCTTCCTGGGCAGGTTGGAGCTGTCGGCCCTCTATCGGCGATCAATGGGCGATTGGGGGTCGATGCATTCCCCCCTATGCCTGTCCCCCCCAATCGTTGCCCCTGACCCTACCTCCCGAGAGGCACTACAACCAAACGCGCTGCCGCCATCTCTCTCTTGCTTTCGTTGCGAGGGCAGCAGCTGCAGTCGTCATCCCTGCAAAAGGTTTTGACTTGGGAGCGGCAGTGGCTTTTCTACCCATCTCAGAACCAGCGGAGTCGCCACTGCTGGGTTCTAGCCGTGGGAGGGGGCCCAATCTTGCTGGTTTAACTACGGCAAGCTCGCGTCGTGATGACCCCGCGGTTGTCTTTTCACATCGCGTGGATGGTTCAGCCTTGAACGATCGGCGGCCTTTCGATCGCCAAATCGTCTCATGTTAGTCGATCCTGCGCCACTAGCCAACAGAACGCCCGCGCTGGGGTCGTCGCCGGGTCGACACGACACGAACCTACCGTTTTGTAGCTGTTACTGCGCCAGGCGGTTGCCAATTGCTTCGAGGAGCTTTCAGAGACCATGAGGTGTTCCGCCGCCGCCGCCGCCGCCGCCGCCTGTCGTGCTCTGGTGAATCAGAGGTGCTTCCAGGTGAGCGGGCCGCTTCTGTTTCCACACAAACAGCGTTTACTGGTCTCGATCCATGCCTCAAGCGAGCGCCCGCCACAGCCAAGGGCCAACCACCCGCCTCAGCCAAGCGCCTTTTACCCGCCTCACCAGAGTGTAGCGACACCCGCCTGAGCCACGTAAAGAAGCGCCAGCCCCAGCCAAGTGCCAGAGCACCCGCCGCGGTTCTGGAAACCCTGAACCCAAACATGTTGTCATCTCTTGGGGGCGCATGTTCTACTTCCACCGGGATCCGCCGGCCTTCCGCCAGCGGAGCCGCCCTCGTCTTACTTCCGCTAGCTTCCGCCGAGGCAGAGATGCCAACCCCTGCGACCCTCGAAGGCGAAGCCCTCTCCGAAACCCGCCGGGTGTAGAGCCCGCACTTGGCGGCTAAGTGTGGAGCCTCTTCTTCTGGGGCGGGCACCGCGAACGGCAGGCGCGGTCGCAGACGCCCGGCGCGGAGGCCCACTGTCGGGCACCTGAAGCGGCCCGCGGCCAGCCCGGCGAGGTCCGCCACGCTGCCGCTGGCGCAGCGCAGGTCGCCCAGGCCGTGCAGAGCCTGCGCTTGCTCGACGGGGTGCGCCCCTGCCACTCCGCAGCTCCTGGGAAAGGGGCGCGCGGGCCGTTCCTTGCGGGGCGGGCCGTTCTCCGAGGATGCCTCGGGGAGCGCCCGGGGCCGCCCTCCCGAGGCTTCCCCCAACAGAAACCGTCTGGCGACGGACCGTCCGTCGAGACGTTCGGGATCTCGAAGTCACCGTCAGCGGCAGGCCCATGGGGGGAAGTGAGCGGGGCCGGGCCTTCTCAGGGGATCGGCGGGGATTCTCAGAAGCCCTCGCGCCTCCTGGGAAGTTTTCTTCTCATGCATTATCATTATGATTGTCATTCACATCATGATGCGAATGCGTTCTTCCATGCAATCCCAAATCCAACATAATGCCCCCCCCTTGCTCCCAGACGCCATAGTGGCAGAAAGGCAACGCTGACCGTACACCCGTGAGCAGAGCGTACGGCGAAGAGAAAACACAGTCGAAATCAAATGCATATTGTTTTGTGGGAAATGTTCTCTGTGTCTTCGGGGGAGGCTCAGGAACACTCCTCAGACGACCCCAGGGCTTCCGAGCCTTCTGAGCAGGCCCGCCCCCTGTCGCTTCCACCTGGGCTCGCCGCCGACATCGCTCCATCTGTCAACGGGTGGGTTGGGAATCCTTTGTCTGGTATTGTTTTTTTTCTTGTGGGGAGGATGAAGAGGAAATGCGACATCCCAGCACGCAGTGAGGCCAACGCGATGTATTAAAGTGCGTGCAAAAGGCATGGCACAAGATGAGGCTGTTACAGCACACCAGCGATGGGTGCCGTTGGTCTTCATGTCACCTGGCGACAATCGGGGGTCGCTGTCAATCGGCGGAGGCGCCGGCGGGTACTTCTGCCGGTTCCACAAACAGTGTTTGCCTTGCACTAGGAATTCATGCTCGTCCTCTGAGTAATTCAACCTGGTTGTTGGATCTTCGCCCGTTGTGAGCCCGTAGGCGCCTCGCGGGCGCCCCATGCGTGTTGGCTGGTTGCTGGGTTCATGAGGATCTCAAGAGAGCCCCAAGATGGCCCCAAGAGGCCCATGAGAACCTCTCACAATAACGCTTCAACTCGCCTGGCAAACTGCTTCTGAATGGGCTGGTGGGGATGCGCGTGGCCTCAAGAACTGAACCTGGTGGTTCGATCTTCGCCCGGCGTGAGCCCGTAGGCGCCTCGTGGGCGCCCCATGCGCGTTGGCTGGTTGTTGGGTTTTCGCCCCGCGGGCGCCTCGTCGCCGCCACCACAGCTTGCACCACATGACCTGCGCCACATGACTTCCACACACAGCTTACACCACGTGGCTTGCACCACGTAGCTTGCACCGGGTTCGGGGGCACAACGGGCCCTCGCGCTTCTGCGTCTTTCGTTTTCGGTTTGGTTTCGGGGTTTTGGGGTGAACCGTTTCAATCCTCCATTCCTTCCCTCTTCTCCACTTATGTTCCTTCGATCTTCCATCTTCTCTCTATCTCTCTTTCTCTCTCTCTCTCTCCTTCTCTTCCCCCCCATCCTCTTCTTCCCAACAAGTGAAAACCATCTAGCTTGTGCACCACCTAGCTCGACAAAGATAGCTTGCACCACCCAGCTTGCACCACATGGCTGGCGCAGCATAGCTTGCACAACAGTGCTTGCACCGCATAGCGGTATCCACAAAATGTAAACATCCAGAATGTAATGCGCCAACCCCCTTGCGGGGCCACCAGGCTGCGAAGACCGGGTTTCAGCAACGCAGCTACCAGTCCCTCGGTCCTCATTCCCACACGCAGTTCCAGTGCAATTTCCAAGATCCAGCCTCCAATGTGAAATTTCAGTTGTTGCATGTTGCTGTGAATGGTTATTGTCCGCGCGGGAGGAAGAGCCGAAAACAATGAATTCCCCAGGGGGCCCTGGGACGCGTGAAAATACGTGAGGGCCACGTCCCAGGGGCCATAGTCCTGTTAAATTGCGCAAGGTTCGCGCCCCCAAGGCCACAATCCCTTTTTTATGATGCAAGATTCGCGCCCCCGAAGTCACAATCCGTTTGAACATGACGCACGATTCGCGGCCCAAATGCCACCATCCCTTGCAAGTAACGCCAGATCAGGCCATCAGCAGCCACGAGCCCTTGTAAATCATGCATGCGCCACGCTTCTGTAACTATAACCCCTCGTAAGTACCCTCTCGTAAACTACTACTCCGCAGTCACAGCCCCGATGCAACGATCCCTAGATGACCCCTGATACACAACTCGAGGTTCGCGCCCCCGAAACTATCATCCTCACAAATTGCACCAGATTCGCGCTCCAGTGGCGAAAATCTCTAGCAGGCTGCACCAGATCCAAGCCCCAGCGACGACGATCCCTTCCAAATTACAGCGGGTTCGCGCCTCCGAGGACACGATCTCTCATAAAATACACCTGATTCGCGCCCCCACGGCCAATATCCCTTGCAAACTATACAAGATTCGCCACCCCGGGGCCACCATTTCTTGCAAATGACGCCACGATTGCCAACCGTCCTCGCATGGTACTGGTACTGGTACACGCCGGTCGGAAGAAGTAGGCAGAAACATGAAGTAGGAAGGCGGATCAAGTACATTGGGTCCGGGCCCGCACATATGATAGCAAAGACAACAACACATATCGTTGCTTGAAGTATGAAAGCGCTTGAAATAAATTGGGATCTGGGAGTCCAAGAATACTTACTTTCAACGACCGGTGAGTACTGCCGCAAGGGGCTGCAGGCCAAAAGGCCGCCCTTCGCCTCCCCGGCCGCAGCCGGACCCTGTCACCCAATCCCCGAGGGGCGGAGTGCACCACGGCGAAGCAGGTGGGCGGGAGCCCCGCACCGGGAGAGGCACGAAGGGGGGAGAGCCCAGCCCTCCGCCCTAAGGGCGGCGAGCCCCACCCCGAGAAGCCTCCCAGAGCAGAAGAGAGGCGAGGGAGGAAGAGAAGGCCAGGATACTAAAGGGGCCCAGGAGCACACAAAACAAATAGACACAGCTGCCAGGATGCTCCGTATTTTTTTTGTATGTGTTCTGGGTTTTCGTCTTCGCCCCCTCCCATATTCTCCAATACTTTCCCGGGAGTCGACGATTCATGGTGTCTGTGTGTGCCTTCCCCTTGCTGACAAGAGTAACGAGGCGAGGAGGCCCCCTTGGTAAACCAGAGCCCCTGTACTATCGAAGGCGCCACATCGGAAGATCGGGTCTTGCTACGTCCGTCCTTGACGAGCATGCCAATTATTGGGACACCGGCAAGAGATCGAAAATTGGCACTCTCCCGACAGCCTCGCATGCACACTTACAGGTACGCGCAACACGCGCTGTGCACCCACACCACACGCACTGTGCGCTCTCACACACGGAGGCAATACGCGCACCCATAAACAGCACAGCCTTGCATGCACACTGACAGTTATGCACAACACGCGCTGCGCATCCACACCACACGCACCCTGCGCCCCCACACACGAGACAACACGCTCACACCTTAGCAACACGCGAATATCCCAGCGCGTGCTACCCAAAGCCTCTCACGGCACATGTTCCTTTCCTGACGCAGTCCCGCGCACCCACAAGTCGAGGAGAGGTGCGGTACAAGGCCGCACCCCGGTGCAACAGGTCTCGTCGTCAGGGTACAAGACCCCCGCCCGCAGGGTGCGGTACAAGGCTAGCGCAGGTGGGCGACCCGAAAGCGACGACACCTCGACCAGTAGATGCACCATGGGGGCAATCCCCCTGGGCCTCCTCCCTGCCTCCTGGCTCCCCCCACCCCCCTACCTCAGACAGCCCAAGACACAGAGAGGGTCGAGAGCCCCAGCTGGGTGCCCGCTGGCACCCGCGCAATAACAAAGGAAAGACACCGTCAGATCCTCAAGAGCCTGGACCCCCGCACGCACACCACGTACGCCGAGCTAAGCGCTGTCTACCAATGCCCCCTCGGGCATCCGAGGTGCCTCAGGCCGGGGCACTGCAAGGCCAGATGTGGCAAGAAATGAAGCGCGCAGCCCCCGCACAACAATGCTCCCGTCCGACTCTGCGGTCTGTGGACGCGCCGGCGTGGTAGGCTAGGTCACGCTCTGTACCGCGGCCCCGGGAGCAGGGCGCAGGCCAGTGAGAACTACGGGCCCGCCCCCCCGACGCCCTACCCAATGCAGGACGTGGCAGTTCTCTCCGAAGACCCGAGGCCCTCCATGCACCAACCCCAGCACGCGAGCCACGCCACGCAACACACAAGCACACAAATACGTGCCAGACGCGCGCAACACACAAACGCACGCACGCGCGCTCAAAAACACTCTACCCGTCTGTTGCCAATATTCGTTGTTCCGCCGTATAGTCCTCGCATGAGTATCTGATATCGCCTCAAATCAGCATCCAGACATCTCACCATAGCTCTGGCATATCGCGTTATGATAAAGAGGGGGCTGGCGGCAGAGGGCGAAGCCCTTACGGTTAACTCACTGTTCGGGGTCCACGCTGGCAAACACCTGCCCACCTCCACCGGGTCAGCCCACTTCGCGCGTCACGCTGCCCAAGGGCGCGACGCGCAGTCGTCCTCGCGCCCTCGCGACGCCCTCCTGGAGAAGCCGAAGACCCGACCGCGAAGCGCGGAACGCAAAGCCCATACCAAGACGTGAGGCGTGAAGTGCAGGATGGCCGCTGCGCCCCGGCTGACGGCCCGGACCTCGAGAGGTCTCCAGCCAGAGGGGTGCGGGGGGGGGGGGCGTCTCGCCGCCTTCGACTCCACGACGCCGTACCAGTCCCCGCTGCCGGCGCGCCAGCTCTCCCAGTTGAACCTCCCGCACGGCTGGCGGACCCCGCGGCGGCGTGGGCGCGAGTCTCTGCGAGGCGGGACTCAGGCACTTCTTACCGTCCAGCGAAGCCCAGTGGCACAGGAGGACAAAGAGGGGAGGAGGGAATGCAGGGGGAGACCAAAGAAAAACGCGGCCCACTCAATCAGACAAATCATGGAACATCAAGCGCCCGGGGAATCGATGTCCTCGGGCCCCCAGGGGGTGGGTGGCGGATCTGAGTATGCTTGGACCGCGGGATACTCCTCTCCACTGCCTCCTGGATTCCTGGGGCATCGGTTCACCAGGCGGTGGACGTGCAACGAACTCCAGCCTCGGCGACGCGCACAACTGAGCGACGAACAGTAACATGTCTTGCGCGAGATGATGTGGCGACCATCCGACGCGGCTGGCGTGCGCCGCCAGCGCGTCACGCTACGGTGGACACCAGGGCACCTACGCGCGACCTTACCCATCGGTCGGAAGAAGTAGGTAGAAACATGAAGTAGGAAAGCGTTGACAGTAGATTGCGTGCCCGCCCATCCCCATCAGAGGACGGAACAAGGTGAAGCCACTCGATCATTGAAGTAGAAAGGCGCTTAAAGTAGATTAGAATATGTGACTCCAGAAATACCTACTTTCAAAGACAGATGGGTACGCACGCAGCTTACGCGCGAATGTCGGCGCAATCGACCCCGCTTTCTTCCGTCGCTTAAACGGCGCAGGGCGAGGGGGGGCACTCCTTTTAAGACCCCCCCCGAGTCGAAGCCGCGGGGCGCACGGCTTTCGAGTAGCCAATCCCTTCTGGCGGGCCCCGCCCCGATGGAGGTCTCCCAGATGGGGGGGTCGGAGCAGATAGGGTCGGAGGCTCGCGCCGCATCGTCGACGCATCACAATCCTCGTGACCCAAAGGGGGTCCAGCTGAAAGGGGGTGGTGCAGTAGATTTGGGGCAATTGTATTGGAAATGTACTGCGCCGGAGAATTGTATTGCATTGTGTTGCAACGCGCGAACATCCAGCGATACATTTGCGCCCCGGAATGTATTGCACATCCCAAATCTATTGCGACCCCACAAATCTCTTGCATCAAATCCATAGCTCCACCCCCTTTTCGCTGGACCCCCCTGTGGATCAACCAAGCACAAGTACATTGGCGACGTCGGTGTGGAGAGCCGCATCGCTGATGCGTCGGCGAAGTGGCGCACTCCTGCGACCTCGTATGCTCTGACCTCATCTGTGAGGTCTAGACCTGCTGTCCCGCCCCAAGAGGACCCCAAGAGAGCCACACAAATGCCCAAAAAGGGCTCCCCGATGGCCCCTGAGGGATGGTGACGGCCTCTGTGATTGACTCCCTGTTTCTTCGCGCGTCCCAGCTGTCAGGACGAACTTGGGAGTGAACCGGCGAAGCCTTCGCGGCACATCCATGGGAGGCCGTCCAGGACATACAGATTAAGACAGGGGCGTTGTGGAGGAGAAGGGGCTGTTCCCTCTCCCTGCGCTGCGTGTTTCTACGTGTGTCTTCTCACCTTGCCCAATCTCCTCATCCTCGTGATCATCCTTCCCGTTTCTACGTCATGGTCATCCTGTCATGTGAGCATTATGTATTCGGCGTTTCGACATTGGGCGGAAGGGGGGGGGAGGGGGGGGGGTCCAGCTCCAGACCTCTGCTTAATGCCACTGTTTGGAACCGTGCGTCCTATGTGGGAGACTCCACCTGCTCGAAACAGGCGCCGAAAACAGCCAAGATCTATTCCACGGTGGGGTGGGGAGGGGGGGGGCTTGGGGTCCGCGCCGATCAGCAAAACAATTAATAAAAAACGATCACCATCTTCCCCTGCTTCATCCTGCCCACCCCTCCCATCCATTCTGATCTTGCTCATTCCCTGCAACATTACTCCGGCGGCACGTCATCCGATCAATCCGAGCTCAATGCTTCGAAGAGGGATGTACGGTTCGAGAAGGCCTTCAATGTCGGGAAGACGTAAGACTCGGGTACGGGGGATTCGGGTTGGCTTGACGGGGGCCATCAGACAACTGACGAGACCCAATCTGAAATTTGACGAGGGCTCCCGCTGCAGATATCCAACGAAAACGGGACAGTGAAAATCCAGAACGCGCTCGTCAAAAAAAATCGGCAAACCCGAGTTCTGGCTTACTCGAGCCTTACGTTTCCCCGATTATGCTTGACTTCAGAATGTATCCGAGGAGGCCTTAGCGTCGATCCTACAATGATGTCCTCCACCTTTGCATGAGCAGAGACGCGAAAATTATAAGCACGGCGGCTGTTGCCCCGCGCCTGCTTGTGTCTCTGCGTGCTCCACTGCATCCCTTGTCTGGGCTATTATCCTAGGTTTCCAGATGGGCTGGTGGGGACACGCGAAGCGCCTGGACCTGCAGCAGAGCACCGAGAGCGTGAGGCAAGATTGGAAGCGTGAGCCTGGCAGAGGGGAACGCCCAGAATCATGATATGAAGTGCCAAGCGCCGAGGACCAGAAGAGACAGGCAACTTCGGCCACCCGGCCTCGAGCCTCGCGCTGCGAGGGACGCGCGATGGCGTGGCTTCCCTCGCGCCCCCGCGCCGCCGGCTGGATGAGCACAACCATCCGCCGCCAGGCCCGGCGCGCGAAGCGCCACCGTCTTCCCGCCCCGGCGGGTGATCTGGGACGAGCGGCATCTCTGCTGCACCCGGTGCCGTCGTCACGTGAGTCGCCGCCGACACGGCTCTCCGCCCCTGGTCTCGACAGCATCTTACGCGCCACCGCCCTCGGCATCGCCATGTACTCTGGCAGGTGGACCTCGCGCCATATACAAAACGGCCAAAGAACGCTCATCCTATCCAGGCTGCCTACCTTGTCCTTCAATCGGCGTCTCTGCCCTCAAGATTTGCGCAACACTGACTACGGGGCCACGGCCTTGTAAACCCTCTCCTCCCATAAATCCTGCCCCCCCTCCGTTCTGTTCTGCATTCCTTGCTCAAGCCGCTTGCTTTGTTCCAAACTTCCGACGTCTCGCTGCGACTTGCACTTGTGCCCCATGGCCCCACATGACCCTTGCAACAAGACGATGTTGGACTTGTCGGCGAAGTTAGTGATTTCCGCCATAGCCTGACACGATCTCCATCGCTTCCCACAGGAGAACGGCGCAAGACAGCAGAAGGAGGCGAGATGGAGGCGGTCGAGGATGAGAAGCACCAGGCGAGTCGCAAGACGGGGACATCACTCCTGGGAAAAACCAATCTGCATGCTCCGCGCCATCTGTCCTGCCATGTGCGCTCGAATTCGAGCGGGCTTCTGCGGGCACCACTCGCCCATTGTGCTCTGCTCGGTCGGGCGCAAGACGAAGCCAGGACGAAGACAACATCGGGTGAGGGCAAATCGAGAATCTCTGAGATCCGGCGGCCCTGGAGGATGTCTCGGGCGCCGCGGCCTTCCTGGAGCGTTCCGCAACGCTCTGAGAGCGCTCCAGAGCGCTCTGGAACGGATTTATCCTCGTGTCAGCCCCGCCCGAGGGCGGGCCTATCGAGCCAATGCCCTACTATTAGATCAGACATGTCCTCCTAAGGGGAAATTTTGGACGCAAGATAGCAATAGCCATTAAAATGTCAAAACTGAGCAAACATAGTATCAAAAATCGTCCCCATCCCATTTTTCAATACTTTTGAAATGTTCCTCCTGTAGGAAAGGACATGCCCGACGTGACCCTGCCGCCCCCGGCACGCCCCTGGTACGGGGGCGCACTCCGCGGGGGACGGCTGCACTTCGTTGGCCACGGCAGCCCGCTCCCCTCAGAAGCTCGCACGTCCATCATCCACCAAGGGGCCCCAGGACACACAAGTAAATACACACAAATAAATGATTCCCCATATTTTTCCATGTCTCCTGGGTTTCTGTCTTCCCCCCCCGCCCACATTTTCCTATATTTTCTGGGAAATCGACGATTCATTGTGTCTGTGTTTTTTTCCCCTTCTGAATCCAGGCCTGCTGCTCCTCTCTTTCCCCTGCTTCGGAGAGAGCTCCGCGTCTCCACGCCCCTGCAGCTGCCCTCGGAGTGGCACCGGCAGGGAAGGTCGAGCGCGGGAAAGCTGCCCAAAGAACTCCACCGAATCAACCTTTGCGAGCTCTCCGTGGCGACCACACCGGGGCCGTGGTAGCATTCCCCGATGGCCGCGACCGTTGCCGAGTGAGTGGCGATGGGGAACTTGGGCCAGGGCCTCGTGGTGGACAGCTAGCGAAGCATCCCTACGTCGACGAGGGGGACCTTCGATGTTGACAGGCGCATTAAGAGTTCTTTCTGGGCCGCTCCTTCAAAATCGATGGTCGTACTGGGCTCTTGGCTGAATGGTCTCCTCCGGCGCAGCTCTAGACGCTGTCTTCAGGCGTGGAGGGCCGGGGCAAATTCCCTACTGCAACCCTCATGTGTGTCTCGTCAGTTGTGGCGAGACATGTTCGCTATTTGGGTGACCCTGTGATTACTGATTGCTGGAAACCCAAGGGCGGGGCGAATTTCGATCGCAATGTTCGCTGGTCGATATTTTCGCAGAGCTAGCGCGAGAGCACTCGCTACTGCTAGGTCTTCGGGCCACCGCCGCCGAGGAAGCGCGGCGGACAATGTCCCGCGAAGCTCTTATGAGGGGTTTCTCTAAGCAAGCGGCATGTGGGGTACGTAGCGCAGGTGTTCCAACAGCTGCGCGTCTGGGTGTCGCCAGAGCGAAGATCCGCCGCTGGCGCGCGGATCATGGGCTTCGCGGCGTGCTGCGAGCTTGCGATTCCCCAAACAGGGCTTGCACGTAGGGGTTCTTGCTTGGCCCAACCATCTCGGGGTGACTGGCGGCTTTCGCGGGCGGTGTTGCCCGTCGCCGACGTCGCCGTCGCCGTCGCCATCGCCGCCACTCGGGGCGAGCGGCGGCTTTTGCAAGCGGTGCCGCCCATCGCCGCCTTCGCCGTCGCCGTCGCCATCGCCGCCACTCGGTGCCACCCATCGCCGCCGTCGTCGCCGTCGTCGTAGGATCGACTTTCCTTGTTTTGTTTTTAATGTGGATCCCCCCCAGGCTTCATCGATCCACCTTTTTTCTGATGTAATTTACATACGATTCAACCCCATCGCCCACCCTAAACATGAACCCGTGCCATCCCAGCCAAGCCCGTACCGACCCCCCCCCCTGCCATCTCCTGCAAAACATACTATGCGCGCGCACCGGATTATCAAAAAACATTAGTTGTCATGGGCCCCATTGCAAAAAATGAAACGACGTGCACACGCGCGCGTCTTCGCGCGCGCACGCCGAAATCCTTCAAAAACTTTTGGTTTCGGAGAGATTTTAAAATCGAATGTCCAAGCAACATATAAAAACACATGGTTTCGCAACACGGACTATCAAACAATCAGCGTGCGCGCTTTTGTGAATTAAGAGAACCACGCGTTCTCCAACATTTTCATAGAACGCTACCAAACGGGGTTCGCGCGCGCATGTGGAAATCATTCGAACGCCTTTTGCGCGCGTGCCGTCGCGAGATTCCTTTTTGCAACAATTGGGATGACCTGCGCACGCGCGCGCCGTCGCGCGCGCATGCCAAAATTCTTCAAAACCCTTCGGTATCGTAACGATTCAAATGTCCAAATAACAATCACAAGCGCAAGATTTCGCAACATCAGCTTTCGGAAAAAATTGCGAGCCCGCTTTTGCGAACCCTGTGAAAAAATCTGTTTTTCGACATGTGCATGGGATTATGCCCAACGGGCCTCTGGCGCCGCATGCTGGAGTCATTCGCACGCCCTTGCGCGCGCGCTAGGGGCCACGATCCGTGTCAAATACAACTATGCTGGCTACTTTCGCGCGTCTGCCGCGCGCGCATGTCGAAGTTTTTTTCCAAAACCTTCATCACCGACGCGATGGCGCCGTCACCGTCGTCGATCGCCGGCGCGATCAGCATCGGCGCCCGCATTGGCCGCGCCGTCGTCGGTGCGAACATCGTCGCCAGCATCGTTACTAACATCATCGTGCCTACCGTAGTCGACGTTGCCATGATACCGCGCCCGCCCAAGTCGCCGACTCGCAATGAGTTGCCCGCTGAGATGCACCGGGCAGCCAGCGCCACCGCGACCACGCCGGCCGCGCCAAACTAGCTGGCCGCTGCGCGCGCGTGCTAGGGTTGGCGCGGCCGCAGAGATGCACCAGCCAACGCCAAGCACGCATCGCAATCGCCACCGCATGGGTTTTGCAAACCAAGTTGCGGGTGGGTAAGACGGGGTGATTGCAAGAGTATGCGATGCGTCAACTCATCGGTGAAAACCAGTTGCGCCACACAGATTCTCAACACAAGAAAGTGTTATACCACTCTCCCCCTCCGGGTTTTAAGACTCACCGAGAACCGATGCGAAAAGCATGCGGTTCTGACCCCATGTCCGTCCGACCTGTGAATTCATACTACGGTGGAACCATTTTTCGGCCGGTGGAACTCGAATCGAGTCTTGGCCATGGATATCACCGCCGCCCTCATCAGTTAAGGAACCCTCCAGGGTCGGAAGCCCCATGGGTACATTCCTTATCGATGCCCCCAACCGTATCCCAGCTAGGCTGGCATCGGCCCGCAACACCATCCTCTGAAACAAACGCTATGCGCGCGCACTCGTTTATCAAGAATCATAAGTGTTCAAGGACCCCTTTCAAAAAGTGGGACGAAGTTCGCACGCGCGCGTCGTCGCGTGCGCATGCCGAAATCCTTCAAAAACCTTCGGTTCCGGAGAGATTTCGCAATCGAATGTCCACGAATACATTGTAAACAGAACGCTGGGTTTCGCAACGCGGATGCTCAACAAAAGCGCGCGCGCGCTCATGCGAATTCTGCAGAAAACCACATGTTTCAACATAGTCACCGGATGCTACCAAACGGGCTTCGCGCGCGCATGTCGAAATCATTCGAACGCCCTTGCGCGCGTGCTGGGGTGGCACGACCCGTGTCAAATAATACCATGCGAACCATTTTCGCGCGTTTGCCGCGCGCGCATTTCGAATTCCTTTCAAGCGCCGTCATCGTCGTCGGCGTGATTAGCATCGGCGCCGTCACTGGCTGCCCCGTCGTCGCTGTCAGCATCGTCGGCCTTCTTCAAGACGGCGAAGATGGCCCCAAGATGCACCCAAGACGGCCCCAGATGGCCTGAAGATGGCCGTAGACTGCCCAAAGGCCCGCCAGAGGCGACTAAAACGGCCTAAGACCCCTCCAAGACGTCCTCCAGGAGGCCCGAAAGCTCGGAAACCACCTGGTCCGATAGCTCGCCCCACTCCGTGCTCCCCGAAGGCTTTCGAAACCCACTCGGGGAACGAGTGGCCCGATAGCTTGGCCAAGCTCAAACCCAACTTGCGGCCACGCAGGCGCTTCCGAAAAGGCAGGGGGCGACGGTGATTCGCCGTATACGTCTTTGATGGCGTCTTCGATCCACCGCCCCCTGTTGGCTTGCCACAGGGGTACTCAGCGTGCTAGACCCGTTCGCCTTTGACTCTGTTGCAAATCTCCCTGGGGCTTCGGCCCATCCTGCCGGGGCCCCGGAAGGTTCCCAAAATGCCTGGGTGGTGCCCCCTGTCGCCTCCAAGACGGCCAATATTGCCCAAGATGGCCTCCGAGATGCGTCCAAGACGGCCAAGATGGCCTCCAAGACGGGTAAGATGGCTCCAAAATGCCTCAAGACAGCCCAAGCTGCGCTCCAAGACGGCCAAGATGGACCCAAGATGGACCCAAGATGCCTCCAAGATGGCCTAAGAGGCCTCCAAGAGGTCCTCCAGGAGAGCCCGAAGAGGCCAAAATCATACGTTTTCCGCAGGTGTTTGATAGACTTTGGGATGTGTTTCTGGCCTTCCGACGACCCAAGACGCCCAAGAGGCCCCAAAGATCGCCTCCAGAGCGCCAAAGAGGCCTCCAAGATGGCCTCAGGACTGCTCAAGAGCCCCCCAAGACGGCCCCAAGGGGGCCCAAAGACAGCCCAAGAGGCCTCTAAGGCGCCCAAGGAAGCATCCAAGACTGCCCTGGAGCACCCCAAGAAGGCCATCAGTTGGCCCAGAGAGGTCCCAAAGACTGCTTCCGACGGCGTCAGACGGGGCAGGAGCCCACCAAGACGGGCGAAGATGGCCCTAAGATGGCCCAAGAGGCCTCCCAGAGAGCCCCCAGGAAGGCCCGAAGAGGCCAAAATCATTGATGCTCCTTTGGATGTTGAAGGATGTTGGCATTTGCTTCTCTTCGGCCTTCCGACGGCCCGAGACGGCCCACGAGCCCCCAAAGATCGCCCAAGAGGCCTCCAAGATGGCCACAGCACGGCCCAAGAGGCCTCCAAGACGGCCCAACGACGGTCCAAGAGGCCTCCAAGACGCCCAAGACAGTTTCCAAGACTGCCCTAGAGCATTCCAACAGAGCCCCAAGTCGGCCCAGAGAGGCCCACAAGACGGCTTCCGACGGCGTCAGACGGGGCAGGAGCCCGCCAAGACGGCCGAAGATGGCCCTAAGATGGTCCAAGACGGCCCAAGAGGCCTCCAAGAGCCCCTGGGAAAGCCCAAAAAGTCCCAAAACATTGACTTTCCTAGGATTTTGGCATTTGCTTCTCTTCGGCCTTCCGACGGCCCGAGACGGCCAAGAGCCCCCCAAGATCGCCCAAGAGGCCCCCAGGATGGCCCCAGAGCAGCCCGAGAGGCCTCCAAGACGGGCCCGAGAGGGCCCCAAGACGGCCCAAGAGGCTTCCAAGGCGCTCAAGATGGCCTCCAAGACGGCCCTGGAGCACCCCAAGAGGGCCCCAAGTCGGCCCAGAGAGGCCCCCAAGACGGTTTCTGACGGCGTCAGACGGGCTAGAAGCCCACCAAGGTGGCCAAAGGGACCCCCGAGAAGCCCCCGAAGGCCCCCAGGAGGCCTCCAAGAGGGCCCCCAAGATGCCTCCACGACGCTCCCAGGAAGCTCCCAGGAGGCTTTGAGAGTGTCCCCAGAGGCTCCCAAGATGTCCCCTCCTCCTCCTCCTCCTCCTCCTCCTCCTCCTCCTCCTCCACCTCCTCCTCCGCCTCCTCCTGATCTTCCCCGCCACCGTCCCCCACGTGTTCCTCGAAGGGTTTCCACAACTGCTGGAGGAACACATGGTCCGATGGCTTGGAAGAGCTCTTGCCACAACGCTCGGCCACATGGGCGATTCTAGAAGGCAGGGGGCGGCGGTGATTCGCCGTAGGCGTCTTCGATATCCACCGCCCCCTGTTGATTCATTATAGGGGTGCCTGGCGTGCTGAATCCTTTCGCTTTTGGTTTTCGTTCTTTTTCCAAAAGAACTCCCCCTGGGGTTTCGGCCCCGCCCGCTGGGGTCCAGGAATGGCCCGGGAAGGGTGGTTCAAAGAGTGTGTCCTGTTCCAGATGGCTCCAAGATGGCTTCCAAGATGGCCTCAAGGTTCGCCCAAGATGGCCCAAAATGGCCTTCAAGACGGCCCAGGAGAGTCCAAGATGCCTCCATACTCACACAGGAAACCTCTCAGACGGGCCAAGACGGCCCCAGAGGCCTCTAAGAGGCCTCCAAGACGGCCCAAGTGGCCTCCAAGGGGTCCTCCACGAGAGTCGGAAGAAGTCAAAATCAATTTTGTCCTCAGGTTTTTGTGAAGGACTTTGGCTTTTGTTCTTTTCGGGCCTTCCGACGGCACAAGGAGCTCGAAAGATCGCCCCCAAAGCGCCCAAGAGGCTTCCAAGATGGCCCTATGACGGCCCCAAAGGCCCCCAAGACGGCCCCAAGAGGGCGCCAAGACGGCTCCGGAGGCCTCCAAGACGCCCAAAATGGTCTCCAAGACGGCCAAGATGGCCTCCAAGATGCTTCCAACACGGTCAAGATGAGCTTCAAGACGGCCAAGATGGCCGCTGAGACGGCCAAGATGGCCCAAGATGGGCCCGAGAGGTTCCAAGATTGCCCCAGAGGAGTCCAAGAGGTGCTCCAGGAAGGCCCGAGGGAGCCAAAATCAAAAATTGCCCTTAGGTGTTTTACAGGATTTGTGTTTTTCATCGGTTTTGGTGTTCCGACCGCATTAGACGGCCCAAGGAGTCACCAAACTAGTCCCAGAGGCCTCCCAGATGGCTCCAGAACGGCCCAAGAGGCCTTCAAGCCAGCCCCAAGAAGGCCCCAACACGGCCCAAGAGGTCTCAAAAACGGCCAAGATGGTCTCCAGGATACCTCAAGACTGCAAATATTACCTCCAAGAGACCAAGATGGCATCCAAGACCGCAGAAGTACCCCCAAGAGGGCCGAAGGTGGCCCAACAGGCGCCCAAGATGGGCCTGAAGATGGCATTCGACTGCCCAGAAGGCCCGCCAGAGGCCTCCAAGACGGCCCAAGACCCATCCAAGACGTCCTCCAGAAGGCTCGAAAGCTCGGAAACCACCTGGTCCGATAGCTCGCCCGACTCCGTGTTCCCCGAAGGCTTTCGAAACCCACTCGGGGAACGCGTGGCCCGATAGCTTGGCCAAGCTCAAAGTCAACTTTCGGCCACGCAGGCGCTTCCGAAAAGACAGGGGGCGGTGGTGATTCGCCGTAGGCGTCTTCAACAAGTACAAGCAGAAGTCACACAGCACCCAGAAGCAGCAACAGCGACTCTCCCCCAAGGGGTCGGCGGTGCGGCGTAAGCCAAATAATCAAAACATGACGACGACGGAGGCTCCTCCTCCTCCAGCCTCTCCTCCTCCATCTGCTCCTCCACCTACTCCTTCACCTGTTTTTCATCCTCCTCCTTCCTCCTCCTCCCCTTCCTCCTCCTCCTCCTCCTCCTCCTCCTCCTCCTCCTCCTCCTCCTCCTCCTCCTCCTCCTCCTCCTCCCTCCTCCTCCTCCTCCTCCCCTCCTCCTCCTCCTCCTCCTCCTCCTCCTCCTCCTCCTCCTCTTCCTCCTCCTCCTCCTGCGTGCGTGCGTGCGTGCGTGCGTGCGTGCGTGCGTGCGTGCGTGCGTGCGTGCGTGCGTAAGTGTCTTGTGAAAGAGTCTGCCAAGTGGGCTGCACATTTAGAGGTGCACCTGCAAGGTCAGGCGGAAAAGCGTCTGGACACTGTCGGCCTTGAAGCATCGGAAAAGTGTGCACCTGACTCTCACGAGTTGCCGCCTCAGCCTGAGCCTGAGATTGATGAGTCTGTGGGCGGGGAGGGGTTGGACGTTGGGGGGTCGGACGGGCTCGATTGGGAAGAGGTCGCCACCTGTGCCTTTTACCTGAACGGGCATGCCCTGATGAGATGCGAGATCGACTCGCCTCAGAAGTCAGGAATGCCGCTGGTGTTTTGCGTCAAGTGCGGTGCATATTGTGAGGACCTCCGCCCAGGTGTGCTTCTGTTGGACAGTTGCTTGCACAGGCCAAGGTCCCCACAAGTGAAGCATCAGCTGAAGAGAATTCGGGAAGGGAAGCACCCTCATGGTCGAGCCTCGTCGAAGTTCCTGACCCTCTCGTCGGCTCGCTGCCTCTCTCAGGCGGAGCGAGATTTGCTGTCTGTCCGTTGTGCTCCCTCGGCTGCCGCGCCCGCAGGGAGGCCCTCTGCCCGCGCGAAGACTGGCTTCGCCTCCAGGCAGGAGGTCCTCAGTGCGTTCGGCCTGTCCGAAGAGGACCTGCAAGACGTCAGGGAGCTCGGGCAGGCCGCGGGTAGGCCCCGCCAGGAGGATGAGGATGAGGCGTCCTCTGATTCTGATGGGGGGGTCTTTTAATCGTTTTCTCTGACTTTAGGTCGCTCCACAACCTCCTCCTCCGCCTCCTCCTCCTCCTCCTCCTCCTCCTCCTCCTCCTCTCCTCCCTCCTCCCCCCTCCCACGCTCCTTTCCTGACCCGCGTCTCGGCCCCCAACGCCCGGGAAGGGGCGTCCTCCAACAGGCACCCGCTGTTCAGTCGCCGCTGCAGGACGTTCAGC